GACTTAAATATATTTCGAATGCATATATTTGAAAGTGTCAAAATTATGTATCCAACATTCGAGTTCTGATAGAAATAGTAATATTGGAAACTAACATGAAGAGAACTAATTTGCTCTTATTGTTTACCTTTTTCAATATTTATATGCCCAAGTTATTTAAGTTTTTCTAAGGGTCCGTTTGACCATAGAGATAAAATCATGATATGAAATCATAGGGTCAAAATTAAATATGTGGTAGGTAGATAATACATAGGGACGCAAAAAGGGGTGCCTCCTCACAAAGGAGTTCGGAGTGATTAGGCTCGAGCGATTGTTTTATAAAAAATATAGATTAGATCGTAGCAAAATTGTAAGATCGTGTAGATAACTTCTCAGTTCATTTCATTATGTCAATCAAGCTAGATACAAATGAAATAGTTACTCTCATTCTGACATTTTTTTGAAAATTATGTTTATGATAATTGAACATTATATAAGTACATTTAATTTGCATGTCTTTATTCCACTCCTGTCAATCTTTCGATCATTCATAAAGTTTCAAGAATAACATACGCCTTCTCACAACAACCCAAATGTGCTTTCAGACATGCTGAGCTCCACATATTTTTGTACAGTAAAAAAAGTTCGATTTCGTAAAAGATGAGATTAGTAATGACAACTAGCTGAAATTTCATCGACATTTTTCTTTTTCTTTGAATAATCTATTCTCATTATCTTTAATAAGTATAGTAGTCAAATCTATAAGTCCTTAGTAGCATTGACAAAGAAGTACCCAATTAAATGAAAGCGAATCTTTTCATTTTTCTTGTATAATCTATTATATAATAGAAAGAAAATTCTTATTATTTTATTTAGACCAGACAAACAACTCTTCCACTTGATTTTGAGGTGCGAAGAGAAAAAAAATATTTTCGTATGACTTTCATTTATTGATCCCGGCCCAGAAAGATTTTTATCTTTCACACTTCAAAATTCAAATAGACCACAATTAATTAATTTAATGTTTGCTAGGGGGAATGTACCTTAGTGTATCACGAGTCTCATGTGTTTTTAAATTATTTTCACATGCTAAAGTCACTAGCTCCAATTTGATTGATGAAGACTTATTTCACACTGTGAAAGACCTGATAAAGAGGACACTTTTTAAATAAGATTTTAACAAACATGAAAATCAAATTAGGTTTACTTATATGATTTCTCCAATTTATTGAAAGTCAGAATTGATGAATTTAGTGAGGTACAAAATTAAGGTATTGTTACATCTAGTGTTAGTCCTTTCTCTTGATTTAACGTTACCAATTTGGAATTGATTTCTTTTTTTAGATAGTCACCCATTTAATATATAGTCAATATTTCAGAAAATTACATTTTTTTATTTCAATTTTCATCGATAAAAAATATAACTAAAAACAAAGAAAAATGATTTCACTTTCGAGTAAAATATCTATGGCCAGCCTCACGTCTTTCCATGCTCTACTTAGTTGTCTCAATTACATCGATTCTGAACTACGTTTGTTTGAAATAATAATTATTGATTGAATATCGAGAAATCAACTCAACGAATTCAATTTATTTGATACTTTTGAAATTTTAGAATATTCCAGGCTTCCACGTAGAGCATTGAATATACCACTAGTAGTTTGTAATACATCATCCACAACAAGTAAAATCTAACTCCACTTGCAAAACAATTTTCTATTTATTTATTTATTATTCTACGTATGTTTGCGTATTTTAGTCATTATGGATAAGTTATCTTATCTTTTTCAAAATGATGCAATCTACAAGTTCTTTTCTCATCTATTTGTTACTACATCATGCCTTTAAATTTGACAAATGTTTAACAGAAAAGAAAAACAATTGTTGTTCGAAATACGTGACATATATTGTTTGTTTCGATCCAACAGATCTCATAAATTTCCAATTAAGTTACACCTTTAATTTATCGAACTCAAAAATGCATGTACATATTTTGTGAACTTATGTTAATTTTATAAAATTCTTACTTTCCTAATTAAGGTGTTATGTGCACCTCTCTTCAAAGACCGTGTTTAAATCTTGAAATCTATTGGTCGTCCTTCTCTTTGATCGGTCCTCGTTGGTCAGCCCTTTGTCAAAGGCCTCACATACAACTCTTATTGTTCGAGCTAGTAAATTAATTCATGCAATAGTGATTAATTCAAGAGGAAAAAATAATTAATTTCTTTTAGGATAAATTAGTTAAATGCTTAAAGAAAGCCAAAAAGTTGTCAAAGTGGTCAATATATACAAACCTAATTACTATATTATCTTCTTATAAAAGATGAAGAGAAAGTGGGATAGAAAGATGGAGAAATGTCTTTTTGATGACAATTGTCTAGAAAAGATTAATATATATTCACTAACTTATGCATTAAGTTGTGCTGTTTTCACATCTTTTTGCATCATAAGAGGTGATAAGACTCCTACCGGTATCATATAGTAATTAAGAAAAATATAGTTTATTTTATGAGTTAACAACTTTAATGGGTCATCTACAAACATATATAGTTTAATTTATAGTTTATTGAGGAATTCATTCCATAAACTCTCTTTTAACATCGCCACCCAACTCCTACCCCGACTCGAGTTCTCGAATCCTGACCCAGGCCCGAGTCCTAGGTCTCAACTTCAACCCCAACTCGAGTCTCGAGTCCCAATTAGTACCAATCGACTTCCATCCTTAGCATGAGTCTCAAGTATCGACCCCTGACCCTGACCCGAGTCTCAAGTCTTGACTCTGGACCCTGACCCGAGTCCTAAGTACCGACTCCCAATCCGAGTCCTAAGTTTCAAGTCTCGAACCCGATCCAAACTCGACTCTCGATCCCAGTACTTCTTTTTAATTTAATTCAAATAAGTATTTAATTTAATTCAAACATTACTTTTTAAAGAAGTATTATTCCTTTGTTTTAATATCATAAATTTAAAGGACATTATAATACTCAAATCATAAATTTTAGTTTAAAAACTCAAATCCATTTTTTTTCTTAATTTTTTTTTATGACTTCATGTTAAATCAGATTAATACAAACAAATTGAAACAAAGTAAATATCATCTCCAAATGCCTGCTAGTTTCGACATTAAAGTGTGAGTGGCATAACCATATATAGAGAAGGATGATCAATCAAACACTATTCATCGAAAAAATATATAGAAAATCGTAAAGAGCGACGTGTCCTAGGAAGAAATGGTGGCAGATTATGAGGGGTTGCAAATTGTACACAAGTTTTTCAGGATGAACAAAATCCATATGTTTCTTTCAACAAATCATATGTTGTCCTTCTAAATAGGAAATATAATTAAAAGGATATGTATATCTATACGTGGCAGTACTTTAGTGGACAAACACTTTCATAACATTTCACCAAACCAAAAATAAAAAGAATATTGTATATCTACTACAACCATCAAATTATAGAAAGGACAATTGCATTGAGGGTGCTTTTAATTTGATGTCGGAAACTTGAAAAAGCCATTGCAACTACATGCATGTTTATACCATTTTGGATGAAGTAATCCCATTCTTTCTTGTCTATTCCGCACTAACATTCAACCACTTGACTGTAAAGAGAGAGACGCGTTCAACTATTTGATTGTAAGGACATGAATTTAGGTGATAAGGATACAAAATATATGGAAATATTGTTCAAGTAGATGTTAAGACCACATCCTTTTAGTAAGAGCCTCATTCAAAACCCTATCGAATCAGATCAAAAAAGATATTTACAAAAATAACGTACTTACAATAATTTTAGAATAATAAATAAAGAGAACATTGTGTTAAAAGTAATTTGGATTCATATCAATTTCTAATAGCTTTTTGAACGCAGAGATTTTTATATAGACATACTTAAGAGGCCAAGATAGACAACGAGAAACATATGTTTGCACCCAATAATTGAGGAATCACTGCAACAAAAGAGATCTATAAAAATATTTAGCGATAATTGAGTTAATATCATTACAAAAATATTTAGAGTTCGTATTATATTATTACTAGTGAAATTCTTTATTCGTTGTAGTGATTTTTAATAATTTTATTTTTTTTTGCCTTTTTCTTTTATCATTGAACCGCCTTTATATAAGTTTCATTATTTATTAGAAAAGAAGCTCATGGATTCCCATGGAAGCCTAAATTGATCCCATTGCAACGCGTCACGCGTGTATATATTCAAGGTTATAAAAGAATCAATTCTTTATTTCATTACATATTTATTATAATATATAGTAAAAAGCAACAAGTGGAATTAAAAAAGAAAAAGAAAAACTTCTAATTAATTAAAGAAGGAGAAGAAATAAAAAGAAAAGAAAACATTTCCGGTATGTAATAAACTAACATATCATAAGGATTGTGCTAGAGTGGTAAGTACCCTTTCATTCTTAATCAAGAAATCTTGAATTCCAATTTCCTTGAATACGGAATTGACTTTATTAGGAAGCACTTTATTCTTAATGTGAAATTTCCAACGCGAGTTCAAATTTAATCGGACTATAATATTAAAAACATATCATAAATGGGATGGTGGGGTTATCAACCTTCACATTTATTGTTTTAGGTCATTAGTCAAACAATACAAGACAAAAAATAAACCAACTAAAATATCACTTCTTCCCTCTCTTCTTTCTTATAATTATCTCCCATCTTTAATTTATATATCTCACCCCCTTAACTAGCTAGTTATAAAATTTATTTGATGTTCTTATTATATAAGCTACCAAATTTTAGGTAATAATATCACATCTATTCATCTTCTCTTCTAAAAAAAGTGGAAGAAGTTCATCAATGGCAAATTACACCAAAAAAAATTGAAATTGTTTCTATAAGGGGGAGGTTCTAGCCATTGTACTCCAATTGAGAGAACTTATAGGAAAAGAAAAAAATAAATAAATGGTGAGTTCATTCCTCTTGTTTTCTTCTTTTTGTATATATATATTTACTCAATTAGTAGTTTCACTAATTACATGATTTGTGTTATAGGAAGTGGAAAGCCAAAGCAAACTAATTAGCACAAATTGGGAAGGCTATGTAGATTGGAGAAATAGGCCAGCACTTATCAATAGACATGGTGGCTTGGTGGCTTCATCCTTTGTCTTAGGTAAATCATTTTTTAATAATCGTAGTGTTCGAGTCAAGTTAGTTTTTTCATCAATATAGGTAGTGGAAGATTCCCCCATCAAAATTTTGACGAATTCATGATTTGTATATTTTAAAATAACAGTAGGTGTTTGGATCAACTTAAATACATTTTGCTTTATTGACCATCAAAATTTAGACAAATAAGAAAAAAAATCATTGTTCATGGTGTAGTGATAAACTCACTTTGGGATGTTTATCATAAATATGTATCAAGGTTTTTTTTTCAAGATTATTTTGATGAATTTTAGAGAATAAAAAGTACATCCTCGGTCCCGTTTCAATTTATATGATTCACTTTCGTTTTTAATTAATTTTCAAAAGAATGATACATTTATGTATGTCAATATTATATCATACAAACATCTATAACTTGTTTTAGATCATAATTTTCTCTCTCTTTCAGAAGTTTCGTATCAAGTTAAGTTACATCACATAAATTGAAACGAAAGAAATAGTTGACTTTTTTTCTTTCTAATTTCAGTGGTGGAGGTGCTGGAGAATTTGGCATATCTAGCAAATGCAAGCAACTTGGTGATGTACTTGTCTGAGTACATGCACTATTCACCAACCAACTCAGCAAATTGTGTGACTAACTTTATGGGAACAGCCTTTCTACTAGCTCTTCTTGGTGGCTTCTTATCTGATGCTTTCTTCACAACTTATCACATCTATTTGATCAGTGCATTCATTGAATTTCTGGTAAATTATCTTCCCTTCCAATCCTTTGAGTTTTTGGTCCCCTCTTGCTTTATCGTACCTTAAAAGTTCGTCTGTTAGATCAACTTATGCGTACTTCAATTAAATTGTGTGTATCTATTGTTTTTCATCAATATAGATATCGAACCCTTTCAATCCTATCATTGTTTATTTTTTGGTCCGCTCTTGCTTTATCGTACCTAATTAAAGTTCGTCTACTAGATCAACTTATGCGTACTTAAACTAAATTTTGTGTGTATCTATTGTTTTTCATCAATATAGATATCAATCCTACCAATCCTATGATTGTCTAATTTTCGGTCCCCTCTTGCTTTGTCGTACCCTGAAAGTTCGTTTGTTGGATCAACTTGTGTGTACTTTAACTAAATTTTATGTATATCTGTCAGTTCTCATCAATACAGATATCGAATAGTTTTGTTTATCAAGATTTAAATGTATATAAAAAAAAATCTTGTTAACTCACTTAAAATTGAAGGAAGAAGAGCATGAGAAAATACTACTAGCAATAATTGCGACTTATTTCTCTATCAAAGAAGTTGGAAAATGTGATTAAAGTAAGTAAGGACACCACACTTTTTTATGCACTTTTATACTTTTCTTTTCTTATTAAATGCTTGACTTATTAAAAAATTACACGTCAAATAAAATCTTAGAATCTATATTAAGTTTCTAATTTATAACTATAGTCATTCAACTGTTGCCTATTCATAAAAAAATATGGGTAATGAAGTGAAATAAAAACTTATTAAGGAAAGAGTAAGACCATTTTATTTTATTTTTAATTTTATAAATGCGGTAGGAAAAATGAAAATAGAAAAAGGGATTATAAGGATAGAATCTAACTCTCATCAATTAAATAAAAATTTAGGTACAATTAATTAAGCTAATAAAATTCTGCTAAAATTAATATTGGACTAGTAAATGCTTCTAGATGGTCAGCCTAAAACAAAGGTGGTCTAGTTCTTACTAGTACTAGTTTTATTTTATTTTATTTTGTCTTGAGCATGAAATTGGACTAGTAAATGCTTCTAGATGGTCAGCCTAAAACAAAGGTGGTCTAGTTCGTACTAGTACTAGTTTTATTTTATTTTATTTTGTCTTGAGCATGAAACTTTAATTAACTTAGTTATAACACATGAATATCCACAATGAGAAAGACACTTGGAGTAAATAGGAATCAATTTTAACATAGTGATTATCACTTTTGAATTCCACTAATAAGTAGCAAATTGCAAAGTGAAGCAAATTGATTAATCTCTAGCTATAAAGTTTTGCAGCATATAATAAAGATACATGTATAATTGGTTGCTTTTAATTACTCTTTTTATCTTCCTTTTTTGTTTCTTTTTGTTTTCCAGTATAGTCACATCGATCATATGATAGAATAGTTTTCTTAACATATACTACTAATTATAAAAAAATTGATGATGCTTATATGTTCCAAAAAAACATTATTGTATGTTGATCATTTAATTAACTAAAGTAATCATTAATTTGATGGATCAAATAATAATCCACACATTTATTAATTCGTGAGTTTATTTTTATTTGTCAAAGCTTAACTCACTCAAACCATTAGACGTTGGATCTACGACTCATCTAGTAGTTATTTCTGATAGACAAGGAATATCGAGTCAACAGTACGTGTAACTTTATAATAAAGTGATAATTCTTATTTTAATTTATGTAACATAGTTTAAGAAATAAATTAAGAAACTTACAATAAAAACATTATATAACATTATTTATTTGTGTTGCTATACATTGGGCTTGACACTTCCATGTTGGAGGTCTGAAGTCCGAAACCCCTTGCCAGTGAAAGCAAGGGGTTTGCCTTCTGGGTCGAGCTCATCGCATCGGGCTTGCCTAGTGCAAGTTACCTCTCCTATGTGATTTGCGAGCTATTGCATAGAAACGGGAGTTTTACCCTGTGCGCACCCAAAGAATAGCCACAGCGGATTTCCCTTGTCATAAAATAAAAAAACTAATTTTCATTAAAAATATCATATTAATTTTATGTGTTTGTCAGCATTAATGTTGTTGTCGAGGCTGCAAACAGTGTATAACCGCTATTGCACCACATATAATATATAGTATCTTATCTGCATGTTACCCATTCACACTTCCTATTATATACTCACAACAAGAGTTGTTTCTCTTTGACTTTGCTTTGTTGTTATTAATGTCATGTTTTCATTTATATCCAATTGTAATATTGCATTATATTTTGTGCTATTTATTACTATTGGCCTAAGATAATATATCATCTATATATGGTGATAAAAGAATAATATCTTCATGGAACAGGTGTGTGGCTATTAGGACCATATCAATGGTACAATTACCTTAAATTTAGTACAAATTCTCCATTAGTAGAGATATGGTCACATATATCATTCCATTTTGAGTAGGCAAAAGACCAAGTGTCCCTACCTTCCAAATTATTAGATGTGTCCAATAAAATATTTTCCTTCGTCAGTCTCTTTAAAAAAGAATGACCCTTTTACTTTTTTTTGTAATATTTTAATTTTAGTTTTTCACGTGACATATTTAAATCCACATGAAGAAAGATATTATTTTGATACATTTAACGTAACTTTAATTTTTAACCATAAAATTGAAAAATATTTTTTTATTTTCTCAAATTTCATATCAAGTCAAATTAAGTTATTCTTTTTTTAAAGGGGGAGTAGTTTATATTTGATGCGAAGGGACAGCTTTCTACTAGTGAGATGACCGCTAGGGTCTTGTGGCCCAAGGCATATGGCCTACTTAGCCCAATCTTTATCTTTACCATATCCTTATTTTGTCTTTGTTGCATGACATGAACATTTTTGGGTCCTCATGGTATTTATTGCTCGTTTGGTAGCTGATTAGAGTTATGTAAGTGTTAATAATATAGAAATTAGTTATTGGCGAATTTATGTATTATTTTATGTACGTATAAGTTATTTATGTAGTAGTTTTTTTTAGTTTTTTTTCAAGAATATTTTCGGTCCCTTGGACCAGTTTATTATAAAAGGAAAAGCCCAAACAGTCTGAGTCAAGTCCAAAAGTGACCCGACCCAACTATATGTATTAGTTATTTCATCTTTTATTCTGTATAAAATAATACACAAATTTTCTTGTAACTTATATATGTACTAGTTATGTGAATTTCTATGTTGGCAACAAAACGTCGTATTAATTTTGTACATGAACAAAATTATTTTCTATCTACATACCAGCTACCAAACGAACCCTTAGAGTGCATCGCTAAGGGTCGTTTGGTAGCTGTTTAGATGTGAGTTATGTATACATTAAGTTCTGCATAAGTAATACCATGTTTGATATCTAATTAGGAGGTAAATTATTCAGTATAAAACTAATTACAATGTTTAGTTTGCTATTTAGAAACCTACATAACTCATACATATATATAAGTTATAAGAGAATCTGTGTATTATTTTACGTAGAATAGATAGTGGAATAACTAATACATGAATAATTAATCCCTGCAAAAACAGAGGACAAATAACACCAAGTTTTGTACTGGTATTAACTTCTTACTGCTTCGAACACAGCCTATATGCATGTACATACCTGATTTAAATAGAAGAAAAAAAATACTGTATTGATTTTTCCATCGTCCAATCCACAACAAATCGAACGAAATCTTGTTAGAACATGTGTATTAAAATTTTGATTTGAACACAGGGTCTAGTGGTACTCACAATACAAGCTCGATCGGACTCGTTGAAACCATCAAAGTGCAATCCAGAGATGCCTTGTGAACAAGTCCGCGGTGCACAAGCTGCAATGTTGTTTATAGGACTTTACTTAGTGGCATTGGGTGTTGGAGGTATAAAGGGATCATTGCCACCCCATGGAGCTGAACAATTTGATGGAGAAACACCACAAGGGAGGAAACAAAGATCAACTTTCTTCAATTACTTTGTGTTTTGCCTCTCATGTGGTGGCCTCATTGCTGTCACATTTGTTGTCTGGGTTGAAGACAATAAAGGTTGGCAATGGGGATTTGGGATTTCAACTCTTGCTATATTATTATCGATCCCAATATTCCTTGCTGGTTCACCTTTCTATAGGAATAAGATCCCTCGCGGAAGTCCTCTAACTACTATATCTAAGGTAAGTTTTTGTGAGCACATAACGAGTTACCTATTATTAGTTTTAGATGACTAATATGTCGTTGTTATGCCTCTAGGTTCTTATTGCTGCAATGCTAAACTCTTGTGCATCGAGAAATTCAAGTAGTGTAATAGCAAGTCTTGGATCAAGCCCTTCGACAATTCCAGTACTATCGAATGAAGAGGAAAGTACTACAAACAACAAACATGTAGTAGAATCAATCAATATACCATCGAAAAGTCTGAGATTCCTTAATCGAGCAGTGGTAAAGAAACCTGCAGCAGCATCTGGTGTGCTGAAATGTTCGGTACAGGAAGTGGAAGAAGTGAAGATTGTGGTGAAAATTCTCCCGATTTTCGCGTGTACTATCATGCTCAACTGTTGCTTAGCTCAACTATCCACATTCTCAGTTCAACAAGCTGCAACTATGAATACAAAATTTGGTAAGTTAAAAGTACCACCAGCTTCACTTCCTATTTTCCCTGTACTTTTCATCATGATCCTGGCACCAATTTTCGACTACTTCATCATCCCATTTGCTCGTAAGGTAACCAAGACAGAGATGGGAATCACTCACCTACAACGTATAGGAATCGGATTGTTCCTCTCTGTTATAGCAATGGCAATTGCAGCTCTTGTTGAAATCAAACGGAAAAGAGTAGCTACTGACTTGTCACTACTCGACTCTTCAAAGCCATTACCTATAACGTTCTTTTGGATCGCGATTCAGTACTTATTTCTTGGATCAGCTGATTTGTTCACTCTAGCTGGACTACTAGAATTCTGTTTCTCAGAAGCACCATTTAGTATGAGATCATTAGCAACATCACTCTCTTGGGCTTCATTAGCAATAGGATACTATCTAAGCACAGTGATAGTATCCATTGTCAATAATGTTACAGGAAATTCAAAGCATCAACCATGGCTAGCCGGCGAAAACTTGAATCACTTCCATTTGGAGAGATTCTACTGGTTAATGTGCATACTCAGCGCGTTGAATTTCATACATTATTTGTATTGGGCAAGAAAATACAAGTACAGATCAGTATCCTCTTAAGTATAAGAGAAGTACTGGCAGCGCGGATATTATATATATATATATATATATATATATGTATGTATGTATGTAGATTAAACTATACAGACTGCTGAATCCTTTAACTGTAAATACGTCTGATGAATTGCGTGGGCGTTGTCCACGCAACAGCCAACAGGGCTAGCTAGACGAGGAAAAAGGAATATCGATCCGGTTTTGATCAATTGATAAAGAGTTGATTTCAATTCGTATTCATAGCTTTCTGTTTTGTCACATCTTCAAATAACAAGCTTAAGGTTATCAATGCTCAACAAATGTCTATTATAAGTAATTGAGCAAGCAGTCTCACCATTATATGTAACAAAATATGCACTGAAACAGTAAGCAGTAACAACGTTTTACTGCATAGTTTGTTGTTAGCCCAATAACAACAAACTATTTTCTCATATTTTCATGTATGTTAGTCGATGAATATTTTGGTGAAATAATTTCCGGGTGATTTTTTGGAAAAATTTTTACGGGACCCTCTGTAATGAGTTGGACGAGCAATACATATAATCTCATATAGACGGGTCCCTCTGTAAGAGATATTGGATGCTATCTCTTATAGACGATTTCTTCGCATAACATTTACGTAACCCTCCGTAGGGAGTTGGGGGAGCAGTACGTACAATCTCACAATTTTCAGAGTCCATTTTGGCATTTTGGGGCAAATTTACAGGAATTAGGTGATTTTCTCAATTTTTTTGCATGTGTTAGCCCATACATATTTTGGTGATAAGGCTTCATAACAATTTCTTTGTGAAACCTTTACGGAATTCCTCTGTAGGGAGTTGGGAGCAATGTGTATAGTTTTACCATTTTCAAAGGTCCATTTTGGGCATTTAGGGGCTAATTTTATAGAAATTATGCGATTTTCTCAGCTTTTTGTGTGTGTTCATGAATATTTTAGTGACATGACTTTTAAACGATTTCTTTGCAAAATCTTTATGGAACTCTTTGTAGAGAGTTAAGGGAGCAATACGTACAGTCTCACCATTTTCTGAGACTATTTTGGGTATGTAAGGGCTAATTTTCAGGAATTAGACGATTTTCTCAATTTTTTCGTGTGTGTTAGCCTATGCAAATTTTAGTGACATGGCTTTCAGATGATTTTTTTGCGAAACCTTTACGGAACCCTCCGTAGGAAGTTGGGGGAGCAATACGTGTAGTCTCACCATTTTCAGAGTCCATTTTGGTCATTTATGGGTCAATTTACAAGAATTAGGCCATTTTCTCAATTTTCGTGTGTTAGCCTACGAATATTTTAATGATATGACTTCTGGATGATTTCTTTGTGAAACCTTTACCGAACCCTCCATAGTTGGGGAAGCAATACATACAATCTCACTATTTTTAGAGTCCATTTTTGACATTTAGTAGCCAATTTAGAGGAATTAGACGATTTTATCAATTTTCGTGTGTGTCCATGAATATTTTGATTATATAAAATCTCTATTAGAGAGTACTTTCTACTGTGAAAACTAAACCAATAAACTAGGGAAATAAGAACACAAACTCCTTTAAGTGGTAGATACATATCTAACAACCTATCCAGTAAAATAGTAAATAGTAACAACGTGTGGAGTACAGTAAGTAACTATAATAACATTCTAATATCTATTTGTTTGACGATTGACTGCTAGATCATAATTCTGCTAACTTTGAACAACTTCAATTAAGATCGAAGACACGAGAGATAAATACACGATTTGAAATTTATGAGTCCACGCAAAAGGTATTACGGATACACTATGCTCTGTATCCGCCTGCAATTGAAATTTTCTGTCAACTTTGCATTCTTCATCCTTGTCAATCCAAAATTTGGCTGGCCATTACTACTATATACTCCACTTATACTCACCAAGAGAACCATTTTTTTTGCATCAAAATAGGCTTAATACATAAATGTGCCTTTTATTTTCTCTGCATCTATGTCTTATAACTTCGAATGTGCATAAGTAAGTATTTAATCTCGTATAAAGTTGAAACAAGTAGACACGCATGTCCTATGTCACATATTACACATAGGGCATGAAATTGCCACATAGGACCCATATATTTACATTTTCAACTTTATACGAGATTAAATACTTACTTATGCACATCTAAAATCAGAAGACATAGGTGCAAGTTAATGTCAAAATAAAAGGAACGTTTATGTATTATACCATAAAATATTAGTACTGCCAGAAGGAATAAGACATTCAGCCCACTGAATAAAAATTATAATTGACTCAATTCTACACAATCACTCTAAACATGGTGATATACATTCGCAATTCTTTTTTTTTATTCCAACTCCATACCAAAAAATATGATGCACCTAGCAAAATATCTCACATATTATCTCAATTCAAAAACAATATTGTAAAAATTTGCTATAATGGTCACTGTATTTTCACCCAAACACTATGACCAGGAACACCTTGATGAACTACAAACACCATATAATATCCTGGAGGTGCAATATTCCTTGTTGGAGGTGCAAATACTATGACTCTATAACCAAACATAAAAAGCCTTTCTACTCCCACAATTTCCAAAAACAACAACCTTTGATTCATCCCAAATGAGTGTGTAGTAAATGAAGGTGGAATCATGCTCACCATGAACTCCGCATCGGGCTGCGGAAAGGGTAGAGTGAACGTGATCGAGAACTGTTGACCGTACGATAAGACTTGCCCCACATCAACGGCTTGGTTTAAAGGTCTAAGATGGGCGTATTGTGTAGCCAAATAAGGTGGTGAAAACGCCTCTAAGCTTAACTCTGTCGGATACTTTACGCCTGTAAAGTTGTAGGTCGAATGCGGATTACTACCACCCACTAATATCCTCCCATCTGGCAGTAAAATCGCTGATGAGTGGTACATTCTTGCAATTGTAGTAGGGGTGAGCACATTGAATCTTCTCCTCGGGTCGGGTTCATCGGGTCGGTAAAGAACCGGGTTTAAAACAGGGTCAATCGCGTTCTCCCACCCGGCTGCTCCATTCGCCGCCCCGTTTAGTATAAGCACATCTCCTGTAGGTAGCAACAACATATCCGGCATGACCCGACCCGAAGGCATTTCCTCCATGACCCATTTCGGATCCGGATCCGTTAGTCTCATTCGCCCACATGAACTTGAACCCCGCCAAAACTCCCCTTCCAGTGCTTTAACATACGCGCCACCCCACGCGCCTCCGCAGATCATCACCTCCACCACTGGTTCCTGACCCTGACGTAACCGTAACGGAAGCATTACCGAAGACCCAGTTGCCGGATAACTCCGTTTCTCGCCGGGAATCATGGGGAATTCCCTGAGAACATTGTGATTAACGTAATCTAATACAATTGAGCGTTGATTTGAGAAAATGTAGAGATTTCCGTCGGGTAAAATGTACAAGAATGGGTAAAGGTTGTTTTCTTCCATTGGGTCTGTAGTTTCCACTAAGAATGGAAGATGAAAAACCCCACCATTATCGTCCATAGTTTTGGGGAAAAATTCATAGCTGAAAGCTTTTCTTCCACCAACAATGATTACACGTCCATCAGGAAGTATATGATCAGAAGCATACCATCTCTGAACCGTTAAATTCTGCGGCAATTCAGTCCAATCACAATCAACATCACCATCACACGGGGAAAACAGCCGGATTTTACGATCGCCGGCATGGTATCCACCGGTTTGAATTAATGTACCATCGGAATTGAGTGCACCGGAGGAACACCAAACATCAGTTTGAACCATGAGTGGACGATAAGTGTTTGATAAAATGTCATAAAGAACAGAATGAGCAGAGCAATCAACATCAAGAACTTCATCATCGAAACGACATTTGCCTTGTGGAAGTGAGAGATTAGAAGCTCCGAAATCCGTTCTATCGAAAATGATTACTTTGTTGTTGTAGAGAAGCTGCATGTGCATTGCTGAAACACCAATTGATTCATGTAAAAGTACCCATTCACCATTTACATTTGATGGTATAAAAGGTGGATGAAATATACTCGGAATAAGCTGTGAATTTCTACGATGATGGCGACGATTGTGACGATGACGGTGAGGTAATGAAGATGATGAAAGAATCAAGATTGTGAATAGAAATGAAAAAGATTGAATCTTGATCAATCCCATTGAATTGATGAAAACAGAGCAAAACAGAGTAAAACAGAGCAATACAGAGTAAAACAGAGTTATGAGTATTTTATTTTAGCAGTTGTTGCGCTGATTAGTTTGAGTTTTAAACTAAATAAATGGAGTAATAGACGCAAAGAAAATTTAGCATGAATTGTTAAAACTACGAAAGTTTCTCAATTTTATTTCTCTCCATGAATTTAGGGATTGTTGATATTGTCATGTAATATAAATAATTGAAAGAAGCACCAAAAAAAATAAATTAGATTGGTAATAATGCCACATATATTTAAGACATTCTTGTTTATGGTTTTTATCTTTAGACAAATTACTACTCTAATTATTTGTTTGGTAGTAATTTTAACTTATGTATAAATGGGGGTCGTTTGATAGTTGGTTCGGAGAAATATTATGTATGTGTAATAAATTTTGTATAGGAATATCATGTTTGATAGTTGCTTAGAATTACTTATAAAATTAATATGGTGTTCGATTTGGAACAATGAAAAATATGTTTCGAATTATGTGCTTGAATATTTTTTTTTAATAGGTGTGTATTACCTCACAAATTTACTTAATATGAAATAAGAGGGGTATTTGTTTGGTAGTATTTTTTAACATAGTAGTTAGAAGAAATATTATACATGTTTAGAAAATAATTTCAATATTACTATTTACTAATATACTTTTTCAATAATATTACTATACATTCTATTAAATGACCCCTAATATGTTGCTGGCAAACTTAATTAGTTGCACCCTTTTAATTTTGTTTTATATACATTCAACAAGTTCCTAAAATAGAAAAACCTTTCCTTCTGCAATTTTAAACCTTTAATTAATTGCAACTTTTTTTTTGCTAATTTTTAGTAATTAAAGTTTCCCTAGCTGAGACATGACCATTATTTACGTAGAGGTTATTATTACATATTCATCAGTAGGGGTGTTCGTGGTTCGGTTTGAATCAGTTATTGATTAAAATCAAAACCAAACCAATCTAGTTGGTTTTTTAAATTTCTAAAATCAAACCAAACCAAACGAAAAAAATAACCATCAGTTTGGTTATTGTCGGTTTGGTTTGGTTTGATTTAGTTTTTCTGGTTTATCCAATTTGAAAGTAATAGTAATTTTTTTGAGGACTTACGTCGATAGACACAAACATCTAGCACATGAACAATCCACAAAAAAACTATTGTCGGTTCAATTAAGCAATTAAACAACACTAGAGTTATCATTACTTGAACAAAATGTTTCAATTAAGAGAAAGTAGAGTAGGTAAAGACAAATGGATTTAATGGACTTGGACTTAGGATTGTTATAGTTGGGCTAAAGTGTTGGGCTTGAGGAAATTGTAAAGTTAAAGACTTAAGTTAATTAAAATTTGATAAAATATTTATATTTTATTTATGAATAATATATAAATAATTATAAAATTTATATATCTAATTTATTGATTCGGTTTGGTTATTTTTGCGGTTTTGTTTTAGTAAAACCAAAACCAAACCAAATAATATCAGTTTTCAAAATTTAAAACCAAACCCAACCAAATATCAATTTTTTTAAACGGTTTGGTTCGAATTGCAATTCGATTTGGTTTTTTAACCATAACCATGAACAACCCTATTCATTAGCATACTATAGTATTAGATTATTTTAAAGATAATTATAAGGGTATAAAATTTAACACAGAAAAATATAATATAATTCACTGACCTGGTCAAGTTTGAACAAATAGGATGAAAATATTCTTTGATTTTTTTTTCCATTTTCCATCGATTAGAGAGGATATAGGAAAGATGATGTGACGATATGTGTAACCATTACTTACAAAAAAAAAAGTGTAACCATTACTTACAATAGTTGGGGAAATATTATGTATAGTCCCATCATTTTAAGATATATTTTTGTATTTATGAATTGAGGGGCAATTGGGGTTTTTAATTGAGTTAATGCATGTATTAAAATCATTACATTGCTAATACCTAGAAATCTATGGCATTAGCAATACAAACCTTAATACACAATAGAGTGTATAACTAATGCAAACATTAATTATACATATGTTGGGAAAGAGTACCAAATAAGGTACTAGTAATACACAAGGCTAATGCATGCATTAATTTTTTTAATACACTCTACCAAACGACCCCAACTTTTAGGAATTACGTAACTTTATAGGATTTAAAATATTTTATATCTTTTAGGATTTATCTATCCATTTGTAACTTCTCTTTTCAAATTTTCTTTAGTTGAAATTCAAATTGTGATTATAAAACTTAGATAACAATATATTAAAATGATTGAATTAAGCGGGTCAAATTAGGCGGATCAAGACCCAACCCATTTTTAAGCCCAAAGTAAACTTGAGCAGGTCATGATCCAACCCAATTTCTATTTTAATATTTCCAATCTCAACCCAACCCGCCCATTTGACACCCTACGCTCTTCGGCGAATTCGAAATAGAACGTTCTATTTTTAAAAATAAATAAATTGTAATAGAGAAGTTGTTCCAAAAATAATAATTAATTAAACGGGTTTAGTATTAATAGAATAAATTAGTCAAATTATAATTTTCAAATATTAATAGTAAATAGTATAAAAGAATTGTTACAAACAAAAAAAATCAAAATAAGAAAGGTAAACACAACTAGCGTTTGACCATATATTTCCAAATATTTTTGGTAAATATTGTTTGGGTGAAAGTTTCACCATGTGTTTGGCCATAGTATTTCACAAACATATTTCACTTTTTTAAGAAATATGATAGAAACACATAGGTTTGTATTACATAGCAAGATAGAAACGTGTTGACGTAACAAGATTCATGACTTCCGCAACAAGTCAATTGGATCTTTGTTGCAGCAAATAACAAGTAGTGTCCATGACATTGAAGCAATGTGATAGTTCAGAGTAAGTGCAACAAACATCATTCCATACATCGTGAAGTAAATGAAACACATGACTTTGTTATCCTGAGATGATTGTTCGTCAATTTCATCAACAACCATATCATCACTTTCATATCAACTGAATATGTCATCACTACTTTGGTATTCATAGTGCAAACAACTACTATAGAGGGTGATTTTGTAAAAGATAAAAATTTGGTGTAAAATTTGAATTTTTAAAAGCTCCCAAATAGTCAGATTTGACCCAAATACTACTTTTTTCTAGTATTTGAGAATTTGGGTTATTTGTCAAAAATTTTTGCCAAATAATGATAAATTGTATGGACAAACACTATTTGTCAAATCCCCCTCCCCCTCCTCCCCCCCCCCCCCCCCCCCCCCCCCCAAATTTTAGCATACATTAAAGCTAAAAAAAATTGTATTTTAATAAAAGGTATGCAACACGTACATGAAAAACACTTTACTTATACAATCAAAAATTAATTATATGTCTCCTAGTTATAGTTTTGGCAGATTGCTGATCTTGGCTAATCTGTGGGCATCTGAAAGCGGCAAAGCGGACAGTAATGGCTATTTTCTAACCACTTTGTAATGCAATCTCCATGAAACATATGAGAGCAAGGCAAACGCAGTACTTGAGTTTCCTCCCCTATGTCATCTAGACATACCAAACAATCATCGTTGTTATTTCTTTCATCAGTTTCAATTGGCTCTAGCAACTCTATTGATGATTTATTAATTGTGAATGATTCTTCCATTGCTAACAAAATTCCACCATCGCAATGATGATCAATCACTAATGTCACATCCACACATGCCTCTAACATCTGTGGAGTCATGATGCTTTGCAATTTGAGAGTTGTAAGTTCAATTATAGTGCGATACTGATTTTCAAACTCATTCTTAAAATGAGTAAGCACATCTGATATAGCGCAATCTAATCTTTGATAGAGCTTGATATCGGAACGATGAAGAATGATTTCGTATGACTTGGCTGAACCTACATATGTGCAACCCATCAATACGGATTCTAGATTATTGGGTTGTGTATACCAAAAGTGTTGTAGAATACTGAAATTAAAATAAATTGTGAAATAAGGTAAAGAAGAAGAATATGAAGAAGCAATTGGGGGAATAATCATTTTTTCTTGATCGGAAATTGGTTCAACGCGGACGATCGAGTGCTCGGAGCAACCATGGCATACAAAGTCCGTTGGCAACATATTGCAAAGACTTTGAGAGGAGAAATCGATATTTACTATCAATCTCTCAGGCGGGTTTCTGCTGAAAATGGACTAGGGTTCGTGTCCAAAGGTGAATAAAGCCAAGCCAGACCCTTCTGGTTTATTTATAATAAAAATATTTATGTTACTAGCAAAACCCAAATTTATCATGAAAAGGATTTGTGAGTTTATTCATAATATTACTAGCAAATCTAAACTTACTAGAAAAAGGATTAGTGACTATGATTACGTGACAATTGTTTTCCTTTTCCACACTTGAGAAGGTAAACTTTTTGTTTTCTTTTTTTCCCACGTCATTGAGGCCCAAATTATTTATCCTTCAAATACTTATTTTACAAATATTAATTGTATTTTTATTTAGGGAAAAGTAATTACAAAAAAATTCATACTTACCAGTGTGACGTCCTTGAAGCAACTGAAGTGTAGGTTCAAATTTCACAAAAGCCAAAAAGCTACGTGGTTTCTTTCCATCAGTCTAAGCCTCGGTTGACAAAATTCCCTGAAACAAATGCTGGTGGACGGTGGTAGAAAATGAGTATCATGAGGGAAAGTTAAAGTGCACGCAAGATGGTCAGAACACAACTATTACCAATGTATTTAAAAGCGAAGCACACAAAAAGGTAACAACGTTCATGAGGCTTGAAGTGATAAGCGAGAAGTGAGGCGCACAATTTTAGAACAAAAAATACTTAACATATATGGATTTAGTACTATGATAATAAAATTGTAATTAGGATAACTAAATTCAACATACAATATAGAATAATGTCCATATTAATCCGACTCCTCAAAATTGAGATTCAAAGAACTAACCTTTACGTCTGGATGATTTTGCGTCATTATTTGAAGAGCACGCTTCTTGAAACCCATGGCTTCACCTGTGAGGTGCCCCTTCCTTCACATAGCTTCATTGCTTTAAGTGACAACGCGATGACTTTTAACAGCACTGGCTGTTATACGAAAACAAAAACAATAAAAGTGATTTGTCCAATACTTGTTTTTCTTTTGATGAAGTGGTCCAAGACTTCAGTTTGAGTACATGAAAAGCCGTACTATAAGGAGAGAATTTCAACTGAACTTACAGCCTTCTTCGAGACACGTGATAATCTACACAATGTGAGGTCTATCATAAGATAACTACGGAAGGTCACCTTTCATTCCAGTAGTGTGGATGCTTCCATGTTGAGAGGCTTCTACTGCAATCAAAATATAGTCTGGGAAGTGCCTGTGATTGGAACAGTTAACCATTGCTTAAGAGCTTCACAACTGAATTCACTATAAGACCAGTTCTTGAAGGATGCAAACGGAGGGATTGGCTTTGACTGCATCTCGGGACTCTGGTTATCCCACATCAGCGCTTGTCCACCTTTCATATCCCATAGGAGGCCAGTAATTCCGAGCTACTGATAAGTTAGACAGATTCAACTAGTATGTAAGCATATAAGAACCAAATTCAACGACTTCCAGAATCTTGAGAGTTGAAATTATAACTAGCTTTCTCATGGTTGAACTAAGCATTACAGTTAAATTAAGAGAGACATTCACATGGTTAATCTAGAGGAATATCAGAAAATACTAACCATAATAAATCACATTCAAAATCGATACTCAATGGCACAGTGATTTTAAGAGAGACATTCACATGGTTAATCTAGAGGAATATCAGAAAATACTAACCATAATAAATCACATTCAAAATCGATACTCAATGGCACAGTGATTTGAGCTTTATCATATAAGCTTGTACATGTTTCCTGTTTTAGTTTCTGCATCAATATTCAAATTTGACCATCTTAATTGAAGGAAGCACCTGAAAGGACTTCACAGACAACTGCTTAGGGAACACATGGACCATGAAGGTTGTCACACTAAAAGCACGCGAGCTTGAAACAACTCTTCGTACTGCCTGGCATCCAATAGTTCACATTATCTGCGACAAGTGGCAAGGTTAATGAAGTCAATTGTGTGCTTGCACTCAGAGATCTCATCCGTTGCTTCATCTTTGAACCACCAAAATCTTTAACATCGATTTTGGATTTCCTCGTGCAAGGAATGTTGGGGCAGTGATTGGAGTAAAAATAAGAGCTAGTGCCAGTTCATGCAGATTAGACATAAGATCCAATAGTAGTCTGTTCTACCAGTTTTAGCATATGCAGGATGCTAGATTATGTCACTCCTACAGTACTGTATCCTGGTAGTTTCTCGAGTCCTCTTTCATCAATTGTTTCTCTGATTCTTTCAGCATCGTCCCATCTTCCTTGTCTAGCATAAAGGTTGGACAAAATCACAAAAGGAACAGGGTTTTCTGGCTCCAATTCTGAGAGCTTTTTGGTCATTTCTTCTCCCATCTTGGCATTAGAGAATTGCTCAGAAGCTGCTAGTAAAGAAGCAAAAACAGATGCAGAAGGCTCGGGAATGTGCTGTAGTAGTTCTCTAGCTTCATCCAGCCGACCAGATCGAGCAAGTAGATCAACCATAATATTAAGCTGCTTTAGAGTTGGGATTAAGCCAAAATCTGTGATCATCAAGCTAAAAACTTGCCATGCTTTCTCCAATTTTCCGATGTGGCTGCACACAGACAACATGCAATTCAAAGTGGCTGAATTTGGTTGTACTTTCTGCATTAGCATCAGAGAGAACATCTCAAAAGCAGCTTCACCTTCCCCGTTCCTTCCATACCCTGAAATCATTACATTCCAGATAGCAGGATCATCATATTTTACTTCCAACTGATCAAAAACCTTCCTTGCCAAAGGAAATTGTCCACACTTCATGTACATATCAATGATTGCGGTAACAATAAATTCATCAATAATGTTTTCCGTTCTAAAAATATATCCGTGAATCTCTTGGCCAAAACGGAGTGAGGATAGAGATGAGCACACCATCAGAAGACTAGTAACAGTCTTCACACTGGGAACGACACCGGCAGAAAGCATTTTCCTGAAGAACTTAAGAGCTTCATTCTCTTTTCGCAGCAGCAAAAACCCAGTGATCATTGAATTCCATGTTGCTGAATCTGGTTCCAATCCTTCCAATTCCAATTCCACCAATAGCTCAACTGCTTTCTCCGTTTGCTCATTCAACATCATTCCGGCAATCATCGAATTCCATGTTATCAAATTCCTGCTGCCACCCAGCTCTTTGAAGATTTCGTATGCACATAACCAGCAACAGCATTTCGAATACATGTCTACAAGTGCAGTTCCCACCTTCGTACGAGATTGTAACTCAATTTTCACAATAAGTCCATGAACTTGCCTACCAAACTTCACATTCTTAAGATTAGCAATAGCAGAGAGAACCGATACTAAAGTCACTTCATTCGGTTCTTCGTGTAGTAACATCTTCTTAAACACATCCAAAACCACTTCCTCCACCCCATTTCGCAACATCCCCGAAATAAACGCATTCCAGCACACCACATTCTTATTCTCAACCAATCCAAACAACCTCATCGCAGAAACACAATCAACACAATTCAAATACATACTCAAAATCGACGTAACTACATACACATCCATTTCCACACCAATCTTTATACCCCAACAATGCATTTGAACACCATGATTGATATTCACACACCCTGACAAAACACTAGCTATAGTAACCGAATCCGGCCTAATCAGTAAACCACTAAACAACCCAAACATCCGAAAAGCATCAACATGATACCCATTTTGAGAAACCCCAGAAATGATTGCATTTAACGAAGCAATATTTGGTTGAGGAATTTCATCGAACACTTTCAAGGCACTATCCACTAAGCCAAATTTCATGTACATGTCAGTAAGCGATGTGGCTGCATATACATCGGTGTTAAACCCGTGTTTTATCAAATGGCTATGAAGTACTTGACCTTGTGGTATAGTTCTTAGCTTTGCGCAAGCTTTGAAGAGACAGGGGAAGGTGAATTTGGTGGGAGATAAAGAAGAGTAATGGAGTTGGGAATACAAGGTAATGGCTTCTTTGTAAAGTCCATTGGCTACCAATTTTGTTATTTGATTCTTCATGGATTGTTCCCTTCATAGTAAGCATTAAACACTGAATCAATACCCTTGAGGATAGAAACAATTGTAGCTGAACATGCAGTTGCGGAGTCGAGATTTTTATTAAGCTATTCAAAATATGAAGCTGAGCTAGTGGTCAATGAAGCCATTGAGAATTCTGAGAGCTCGGGTGCAAAACTCAGCGGAGATTAAAAAAAAAAAAAAACACTAGCTGGGTAACTTTTATGGAATGAGATTTAACCCTTACTAGTTCAGCTCCTATCAAATAAATTCTCTTCGATTCTTTGAGGTGTGTATTTATGGAGAGATTGACCAGTATTGATTATGAAAATAGATTGTCTTTGATTCTTTGAGGTGTGTCATTGTCTTGAGATTGATTATCAAAATGAATTATCTTTGATTCTTTGAGATGTATTATCGTCCAAGAGATTGATTAGTATTGATTATGAAAAAGGATTGTCTTCGATTCTTTGAGGTGTTTCTTTGTTGGAGAGATTGGCTAGCATTGATAAAATTGAATTTTCGGTTGTGGACAATATTTTAGTATTATTTTTCTAAGGCATAATACCTAAACTTAACCCTTAACTTGATCTTAGCGGATAACTAAGCCCTCCAACTTTAAATGTGCAGAAGTAGATACTTAAATTTGTATATAATTGATCAAGTAGACACATTTGTCCTACATGACATAATACACATAGGATGTCATGTAGGACATAAAATTGCCTTGTAGGGTTCCATGTAGGACGAATGTGTCAATTTGTTCAATTTTATACAAGTTTAAGTGTCTACTTGCGCACACCCAAAGTTAAAGGTCATAGTAGTCAGTTGGCGCCAAGTTAAAAGTCATGTTTATGTATTATGCCTTTTTCTAGTTGATAATGGTTAAAATATTTTTTAAATTATCTGAAATTGAATAAAAAAATATCCTTAATTATTAATTTTATTTTTAAAAAAATAAATTGTCGTTAATAGTTTGATAAAAAAAATATTCTAACTACCGATAGTTGGTTCTTATTGTTATTTAATGAGTCAAATATTTTTTTTCTAAATAAATATATTAATTATTTTTTCTTTTATTTGTACTAAATAATTATAATTATTTTTATTTTATTTTGGATATAATCGCATAAAAATATCGAGGTGAATTTTGATAAGTACATAACAAGATTCATGACTTCCACAGCAAGTCAATTGGATCTTTGTTGCAGCAAATATCAAGTAGTGTCCATGACACTGGAGCAATGCGGTAGTTCGGAGTGAGTGCAACAAGCATCATTCCATACATGGTGAAGTAGACGAAACACATGACTTCGTTAACCTGAGATGATTGTTCGTCATTTGCATCAACAACCATATCATCACTTTCATATTCACTGAATATGTCATCACTGCTTTGGTGTTCACGTAAAGAATTATGTATTACAGCGCAAACAACTACTATAGAGGGTGTTTTTGTAAAAAATAAAAGTTTGGTGTAGAATTTAAATTTTTAAAAGCTCCCAAATAATGAGATTTGACTCAAATACTAGAGTTTTTCTCTAGTATTTGAGAATTTGGATTATTTGTCAAAAGACAAATTGTATGGACAATTACTATTTGTCAAATTTTCCCTCAAATTTTACTTGGAAAGTCCATGGCTAAACAGGTCCATAATATCGTAAATCAAAAGGGAGGTGAGTGTTATGGAGCTAAACTTAGGGAAGGTCTTTAAAATAAATTCGTTTTATATATATAAAAAATTAGCAATAGATTAGTGACAAATTTAATAACTAATTCAATTTATTTGATCCAATAAAGCTAAAAAAAAAAACTTGTATTTTAATAAAAGGTATGCTACACGAACATAAAAAAAACTTATTACTTATACAATGAAAAATTAATTATATGTCTCCTAGTTATAGTTTTGGCATTAGATTGCTGATCTTGGCTAATCTGTGGGCATCTGAAAGCGGCAAAGCGGACAGTAATGGCTATTCTCTAACCACTTTGTAACGCAATCTGCATGAAACATATGTGAACAAGGCAAACGCAGTACTTGAGTTTCCTCCCCTATGTCATCTAGACATACCAAACAATCATCGTTGTTATTTCTTTCATCAGTTTCAATCGTCTCTAGCAACTCTATTGATGATTTACTAGCCGGTACCATTCCAACAACAGATGATGATTCTTCCAATGCTAACAAAATTCTACCATCGCAATATTGATCAATCGTTAATGCTATAATCACACGTACCTTTGACATCATCTCAGTAGTCATCATGAAGGTTTGCAACTTATTAGTTGTTTGTTCAATTATATCGTGATGTTGATCTTCAAACTCGGCCTTAAAATCCTTTAGCAAATCTGATATAATGCAATCGAGTCTATCATAGAGCTTGATATCAGAAAGATGAATAACGATTGGAGATAAAGTGGTCATACTTTCCAATGTTCTACCCACACGTTCAGATGCTTGATCATTGGGTCTTATATACCAATATCGTTTTAATATAATGAAACTAAATTGAATGTTTAAATAGGGTAAAGAAGAAGTATATGAAGAAGTAATTGGAGGGATAATCAATTTTTTTTGGTTGGAAATTGGTTTAATTTTAACAAGAGAGTGCTTGAAGAAGCTATGACATACAAAGGGCAACATATTGCAAGTATTGAGAGGAGAAATCACTATTTTTTTATTAGAACTTTCAAGTTTATTTATAAGATTAGCAAAACCAAAATTTATTAAGGAAAGGATTAGTGAGAGGGAAGCTTAATTTGATGAGAAAAAGGAATTATTATATGTGGGGAAAAAATTATGAAAAGTAATACAAGTACTTCAAATTAGAATAGGAAAAGGAAAAGCTGTAACAAACCCAATAACTAAACCAACACAATTCAAATTCAAACAATCGATAGATATATTTCACTAACTCGTAATTGAAATTACAAAGGAATTAAGAACTAAAAGGGAAATTGAAGAATACAAGTAGAAGAAAGGGATGAGAAGCAAAACTCAGAGAAAGGGGATGAGAGGACTAGACATTTTTTCTCAATCAATTGTCTTAACCGTTCTTTCTCATCTGCCATCCTTTTAGCTAGTTGTTAATTGGGCCTGGATCCCAAATCAACCTTTGCAAAGGCCTTCCAGTTTTATTGCTTCTTCTCGGCCCAATAACTAGTTGTATGGCATCAATATAGGTATCAACATTAACCCAGGCTGGTTCATAACAGTACTCCCGTCCTTAATAAGAACCTTGTCCTCAAAGTTCGAGTTAAGAACAATGTTAGTAGTGCACTCCCTACCGATTGTAACCAAGATAAACTGTGTACAGATGTGGCAGGATGCAAGTAATGAACTTGGAGATGTCCACCAGGAGTTACAATGAACAGATTCACACCTCTCTATTCATTCATTATTTAATTAAGCAAAGATGTTTAGTGGAATGGTTAACACTTTGGTTAGATGGTTGTTAACTTGTTATCAAATGGTAAGGGGTCTGTATCATTTGTTGGTTTCGATTTTATGTAATATCAATTTGATTTATTAATTTTCGATTTTGAAATATGTTAAAATCAAATAACTAAGCCAATAAAATATTTTTATTGATTTTCGATTTATTGACTTTTGATTTCTAACAGTTTGATTTTTGGAATAATCAAAAAGAAACTCATAAAATAATTATATGACTTCTCCTAGATGCAACAAGATAATAATGTAACTTACCGTAATGATCATAAAATAGAAACAATACTAACTAACATGAAAAGTACTCTATATGAACCCCACAAATAAAAGAACTAGAACAATAATGTGAATTGAAGGCTAATAACAAATAATTATAAACTTCATAAGATATCAAACCATATAATTCATTACACAATCTGAAATCATTCAAACAAACTACCATAATATTCCAACAATTTTTTTGGTTCAGTGTAGTACTGAATACATTATACATTAGTAATAGTAGCAACTAGCAATATAATCTACTACAAAATTGTTTTTGGCTTTAGATTGTTGATCCTTTAGGTAGTTTTGTCTAATCGGTTGGCATCTGAAAGCGGCAAAGCGGACAGTAATGGCTATTCTGTAACCACTTGGTAATACACTCAGCATGAAACATATGAGAGCAAGGCAACCGCAGTACATCAGTTTCCTCCCCTAACTCATCTAGACATACCGAACAATCATCGTTGCTATTTCTTTCATCAGCTTCCATCGGCTCTAGCAACTCTATCGATGATTCACTAGCCGGCACCATTCCATCCACAGTTGATGATTCTTCCAATGCTAACAAAATTCTACTATCGCAGTAGTGATCAATCTGTAATTCCACATCCACACATACCTCTGACATCTCAGTAGTCGTGATGCTTAGCAATTTACGAGTTGTTTGTTCAACTATAACGTGTTGTTGATCTTCAAACTCGTCTTTAAATTGCATAAACACTTGTGATAGAGCATGATCAAGTTTCTCATAGAGCATGGTATCGGAAAGATGATTAATAATTTGGGTCGACTTGGTTGAACAGTCCTCCCGTATTCCACCCCGGTATACGGATGCTTGATCATTAGGTCTTATATACCAAAATTGTTGTACTATACTGAAATTGAAGTGAATGGTTAAATATGGTAAAGAAGAAGAAGAAACAATTGGTTCAACGCTAACAAAAGAGTTCTTGAAGCAGTCATGGGATACAAACCCTGTGGGAAACATATTGCAATTTTTGAGAGTAGAAATCAATAATTTTTTTACTAATGGGAGACTTACCCCATTTCAAGTTTATTTATAATATTACTATCAAACCTAAACTGATTAGGAATAGGATTAGTGAGTTTCTATATTAAAAAAGGAAATACGTGGGGAAAAATTTAGAGAAGTACACGTTTTTAGGGATTACTTCATAAATTGGAAACTTCAAATATTATTTGTAGTTTTATTTATGGAAAAGAACATGTTTTGGAAATACTCCATAAATTGGAAACTTCAAATATTTTTTGTATTTTTATTAATGGAAAAGGATTTAGGAAATACTATCAAATAGTATTTGTAGTTTATTTATGGAAAATAACACGTTTTGGAAATACTCTTCAAATATTATTTGTATTTCTATTTATGGAGAAGAACATGTTTTGGTAAGTACTACATAAATTGGAAACTTCAAACATTATTTGAATTTTTATATCTGAAACTAAATCATAGATTCAACAGCTTGAGTAAAATTTGATAGGGCAAGACATGTAAGAAGCATAAGAGATTAGGCGGGTAAGAAGCATAAGCGATAAAGCTAAGAGATGACACTCATACTAACGACCACACAAACATAAAAAATAAGTTGTTCATCTAATTCAACCTCAAATCTAACGATATCCAAATCTGGCAATCATACCTTATTGAACTCATGCTGAAGAAGTGAAAGAACAGGTATTTCATTGTATGCCTGCATAAGCTTCCTCTCTGCTGCACTTAACTGGAGGTCCTCCACATTTGCTAACGACCTAATATCTCCAACCTTTCCCTAAAGGGAATAGTACCATCCATTGGAAAAGCCTACGCGTTTTCCACTTCATCATCTGTTATCCTCTGATCAATAGGAAAGAGCAGGAAAAGATTGTTCAGTAAAAAATCTGACTGATAGTTTACCAAGAAAAAGACAAGAGATGAATACACCTTGAAATAATGACTGGGAAACAAGCAGTACATAACCCACTACTACAAAAGAATGTACACACAAACTAACAGAATGTGAAAAAAGTAAACACCAACAGAGAAACAAATGTTACAAGAGGCACAATGAAAAAGACAAACATGAAGAAACATGATGAAGCAATTAAGAAGCAACAGGAGATATACACAACTAGAAATAGGTTAAAAAGAAACAAGGAACCAATGACATGGTAACTAGAAGTCTAGAACTTACTCTGATGTTCTCTTGAAAATGAGAAGGAAGTTCTTTTGCATTTTTTTCGTAAAATTGCAGTAGGTTATAATGGTACCTGTAAAAAAGAAAGAAAAAGGGTGAAAACAGCATCTTAGCAATTCAAATGAGTGAATATTCGAATGCAAAATGAGTCATCAGGAGAATATAAACTAAATGATTACATGAACATAAGAAAGAAAAGCTTTCATACCAACAAACATGATTCTGGAGGACTGAGCATATGGCTAAAAGAACTCTGGCTGGAGAATGAATTCACCACTGAAAAGGACTAAAATGTGGTTAATGGGGACACTCTGGGGACATGGAAAATCCACAAGTAATTTAAAAGTCGTTTGGGTGTTGAAAAACTGACTTTGAAGAGACTCAAACACATTTCATGTGTCTCTTTAGCACAAAAATTACCTGTATTTAAATTAACCATCAGACCAACTTAATGACAACCAGCCCAATGGGAAAAAAAAAGAAATACACTTATTCTTTTTTTTTTTTGATAACCGAGAAATCCGTCTGTGACTCGCCCTTTGGACCAATCACGGCCTTCTAAACTCGATGGATAATGGGCCGCCCCTCTACCCTTCTCCACTTAAATACCGGGCTTCGCTTTGCGTGGTATGGGGCTTGAACATGCGACCTAAGTCACAAATCCTCCACCTTTTGCCACTTGAGCTAAGCCTTGGGGGCAGAAATACACTTATTCTCTTAAAGCTAAACTAAACAGTAATTGAAAATTCACTACAAGAATGGGTGGTAGTGTTCCAGAGTGTTGAATAACAGGAAGTTCCACAAGTCGAGCAATATGATAAATTTTTCTTTGAGATAAAAATACATCAACGCTTATTTGGGGTTCAAGCCTACTGGTCACAACTCTCTCTAATGCCTAAGAAGGTGTTAAATTGATCGAGGCTATATGCAGGAGTTATCTATAGTCAGGTGAGGCAACTATTACAAAAAAAAAAAGCCGTGGTGGCTTGGGATAAAGTTTGCATGCCTAAAAGTGCAGGGGGTTTAAACATTCTCAATCTAACCATCTGGAATTCAGCTTCAATATGCAAACTACTTTGGGCATCGAGTCAAAAAAAAAAGAGAAGCTCTGGATCATTTGGGTCCATACGTGCAACATAAAGAGCCAGAACTGGTTGACTATTGACCTCCCAAAACAGGCTGCGTGGATGATTAAGAAGATATTGCAAATGCGGAAACATTGGCAGCAACTAGGTGACATGCGCAGTTTGATTGTCAAAGGCAAATTTCACTTAGCTACCGCCTATAAATGTTTATGGGGTGAGACGCCAAAGGTTACTTGGAGAAAATTGTTATGTCAGAATGTAGCAAAACCACGACAAAATTGTATTCTATGGTTGAGTATGCATAGTAAGCTGAGAAAAAAGGATCGACTGATAAGGTGGGGTCTAAATGTGAATGAAACTTGTGTTCTATGTAACACTGAGCCTGAGAGTTTACAAAACTTGTTCTTTGAATGCATCTTCTCCACTATTAGGATGGCAGAAATGGAAAAGAGGAATCCAAAAATGAAGCTCAGAATGGTATTGGGAACAACAACACTCCAGAGGTAACCATCCGAAAAGGATTATTTTGAAGGCTAATTTTGCAAGAGAGAATTATGCACTCTGGATAGAGAGGAATACGAGAATTTTTCAGGGTAAAGCATCTACCAAAGAGACACTATTCCATTAGATGACACTCTCTATATGTACCAGAGTTAGACATAGCCATTGGCTATTCAGTTACATTTGCTCCCTTTGAGAATTCTCTCTTGGTTGAATGTAGGTATCTATTATCTAAGGTTTGAATGTGTTTTCTGGTAGAGTAGGATACTGAGAAGGAACTGAATTGATTCGTTCGCCCTCAAATTGTAAAGCTCACTGGTAATTAATAAAGTTCTCTTTAATTGCCAAAAAAGAAAAACATCAACGCCAAAAGGATAATATGCAGCCTAATTTGCCGCAAACTCTTTCTTTTTGTCCCTGCAGAATTAAAGTATGTAAATGATATAACGTAAACAAAAGTAGAGGGCAGTTGCATTGACAACCAGCATGCATACACAAACTATGATAACCATAACATGCACAAAGACACATCTAACTACGCGCAGATGGATTTTCGCTTTTCTTTTCTACTTTTTTGTTAATGAGGTATTTCATCTAAGTCACAAACCTGCTCTTGTGAATGCACCCTTATACTTGCTTTCCTAAATTCATACATGCCACACTAGTGCACTCCCTCAAGACACTGATTTCCCCTCACCCCTTCCCTACGCATAGCAACAAACACATTAAGGGATTTATGTGAATACCCCAGATATAAGTGAACCACATCCTTTTCAGGCAATATATAAAATATCTAGCGGGCAGACACCATGTCGTCAACTTGCTTCCCAAATGGACATTTGAAGGAAACTTGCATTTTAGCCCATTTCCGCCCAACCGATTTCAGTCGAATAGCTTTTGGACGAGTCAATAAACCGTCAATTTATTAACTCAATCCAATTTGAACCCGCTCAAATTCATCTCAATCCGCCCATTTGACACCTCTACCAATTTTAATAACAATTCAGGTGAGGGAATTGAGAGTTTGGGCTGAGCCAATTTATTACATTCCTATTCATGATTCTTTTGCATGGATAGTTTTTTCCTTTCTCAACAGAAAAACCGATAAACTAAAAATGAAGAATGCCTTACATTGTACTAGATGTGTCCACAAGTTCATTTGTTGCTTCTGGTAAGCTCATACAAGCTTCCATCGGCTCAGTCGGCTTCTAAGCCTGTCGTTTCTACTGTCTCGGCGAAGCAGCTGCAGCTGCTAACCCCAAATTCCCAAACAAAACTGATGACCAGCTCAGATGACCAGCCATTATGGAAGAAGGTAATCAGGGAGAAATATGGTTTGGATGGAATATGGACTACCAAAGTGAGCAATAGTTGTTATGAAGTTAGTCTTTGGAAATCATAAGGAACTTGTGGCCCAAATTGCTAACAAAAACCATGTTCAGCGTTGGTAATGGAAGGAAAGTAGATCTATGGAATGATAAATGGATTGAACAAGGCTCCCTAAAGCAACTCTATCCAGACATATACTCCCTCAATCAACAACAAAACTCAACAATTGAAATGATCTGGGGTGAACAAGGGTGGAATTTGAGTTTCAGGAGAGCTTTAAATGATTGGGAAATTGATAGACTAGCAAGCTTTTTTGGTGCTTTAGAACAATTCAAAAGGAACATCAACTAAGACAGATTGCTTGATATGGTTAAGAAATAAGCAGAACCAGCATACAGAGTATTCACAACCTCAAACAATCAGAGTGGGACTTGGCCTTGGAAGTGATCTGGAGGGTTAAGATCCCACATAAAGTTGCATGCTTCTCTTGGTTGCTAGCCAGAGAAGTTGGACTCACACAAGATACACTCATGAGGAAAGGTTTCAATCTTTGCTCAAGGTGTTTTCTCTGTGGTAAGTAAGCAATGACAATCTCTAATCTCTTTCTTCACTGCAGCTGGACTGACCTGTTGTGGAAGATTTTCATTAACTTGAGGGGCATTGCTGGACTATGCCGGGAAGAGTATCTGAGGTACTGAAATGCTAGAATAGTGATACCAATCCGTCCAATCAGAAAGAGAGATGGAAAATTGTCCCATCTTGCATTTGGTGGACTTTGTGGGGAGAAAGAAACCAAGTTTGTTTTGAAGACAAAGCCATTAGTATACAGAAACTAAAGATGAAATGTTTAGGGTTTTTCTTTTTTGGTGTAAACATAGCTTAATGGAAGAGTTAGAATCAATTTATGATGTACTAAATTCCTTATGAGAAGATTAAGGTATAGGAGCTTTTTGTTTTTGCTCGTCTCGATTTAAATATGGGGGACTACACACCCTTGTGTAGTTTGTTATTAATACACAAATATGTTACTCACAAAAAAATGACAAAAGTA